AAATGTAATAACGGAACAAGTGCTCTGAACGAATCGTAAACCCTTATGGTTTCATATGACGTGTAAAGGAACATATGTTTGATATAAGTAATACGGACAGTGCTCTGAACGAATCGTAAACCCTTATAGGTTTCATACTGACGTGTAAAGGAACTATATGTTTGATATAAATGTAATAACGGAACAGTGTTTCTGAACGAATCGTAACCCTTATAGGTTTCATACTGACGTGTAAAGGAACTATATGTTTGATATAAATGTAATAACGGAACAAGTGTTCTGACCGATCGTAAACCCTTATAGGTGTCATACTGACGTGTAAAGGAACTATATGTTTGATATAAATGTAATAACGGAACAAGTGTTCTGAACGAATCGTAAACCCTTATAGGTTTCATACTGACGTGTAAGGAACTATATGTTTGATATAAATGTAATAACGGAACATGTTCTGACGAATCGTAAACCCTTATAGGTTTCATACGGACGTGTAAAGGACTATATGTTTGATTAATGTAATAACGGAACAAGTTTTCTGAACGAATCGTAACCCCTTTAGGTTTCATACTGACGTGTAAAGGAACTATATGTTTGATATAAATGTAATAACGGAACAAGTGCTATGAACAATCGTAAACCCTTATAGGTTTCATACTGACGTGTAAAGGAACTATATGTTTGATATAATGTAACGGAACAAGTGCTCTGAACGAATCGTAAACCCTTAAGCGATCTTTTCCGAGGCAGAATGACATCTGCCCAGGCTATGATCGCTTAAGCGACCTCCTGTATCGCTTAGCGATTATTAATAAAAGACCCATGATCGCTTAAGCGATTATGATCGCTTAAGCGATCTTTTCCGAGGCAGAATGACATCTGCCCAGGCTATGATCGCTTAAGCGACCTCCTGTATCGCTTAAGCGATTATAATAAAAAGACCCTGATCGCTTAAGCGATTTGGGATCGCTTAAGCGATCTTTTCCGAGCCAGAATGACATCTGCCCAGACTATGATCGCTTAAGCGACCTTTCGTATCGCTTAAGCGACCTGACATCTGCCCATGGAAGCAGTCGACAGCCCAGCGCTCCCGACATTCTGTCATTGTTTCGTCATTCAAGCTGTCCATCGGCTGTTGGTCATGTCGAACTGAATAAATTCAGGGCATATGCCCCACATTCAGCGCTACAATAGGAAGAAACATTAGCATTATTAAACTTATAGAACAATTGTATTATGTAAGTTAGTTTTAACAAAATTTCCCTTGACTCATTATTGGGCAGTAGAGCGCTGAATTCGCCACTTTCCGGTTAGTACCTGATCACCACACTGCCCAACATCCCGCTGTCACGCAACGCCGCGGGAACAACCTGGACGTGGCTCCAACTTGACCTCCAACTGCTGGTCTCGACAAATGGTCGGGTTGCAGTCAAGGATCTTCAGACACCCCTCCTCTAGATGCGCAGCGACTGCTATCCAGTGCTCTGTTTGACGAGGATGATGCAGTACACTCTTTTAACAAAGGCCCAACCGTGCCATATTTGGGCCGATCCCCCCTTACGTACTGCATAATCCTATCATCAAACCGGAAATCATCAGGGATGCATCCGACTGTGGTGCAGCCAATCGTTTTCTTTCGGTCCTTTTGCTACACCACGCAACGGCATTTTTAATTAAAGACCGATATGCCGAAACAAGCGTTTGCCCAAACCCACATCGGTGATAGCACAGTCAGATACAACAGATCACCTCACTATGCTGTCGTAGCCTCATCAGTGCCAATATCTCATCGATGTGCTACATCAAATAAAACAACACGATAAGTATGGAAAACACGAGAAATAAGGAAGTTAAGTGAACATAACTCACCGAGTCCTCAAGCCACGTCCCCATAGTCAACAACTTCTGAAACCATCCCGGGGATAATCCCCTGTCTTACACTTATATGGCCATCAATTCCCGATCCATTGTAATAGGCATAAGAGAGTTTTTTCCTTTCCTCTATTGGCCTATACAAATCGACATTTGAGTCCAATTTCCCTTCCCCACTTCCTCCCCCTTCCTCCAATTTTACATCCCCGCTTCCTTCGCCTCCCAACTCCCCCTCCTCCATTATCACCGCACCACTTCCACCACCAACCTCCTCAACCTCCTCCCTTTCTGGTTGTTCCTCCATTTGTTTCTTCATTTTCTCTTCTTTACCTGTGTCACTACCATGTAAGCGATTTCACAAACTTGCTCTTTCGGCTCTCTCTTTCAAGCCAGTTTGCACTTCAACCGCCTTTAATTCTCCACCAACTTCCTCCTCCATTGTACCACCTTCGCCCTCCATTCATAGCTACTTTCCCTCCCACCTTATCCACTTTCTTCTCCACCCTTTTCATTGTTCTTCCATCTTCTCAGCTTTGCATAAACGGCTGTTGTAAACTCTCAAACAGGCCGTTGATGAGGTCAACAACCTCATTCTCCCTACGCCGATGTCTCGGCAAAGCGGTACTTTGTTGTACGGTTTGCTGAGGCATACGAACCTCTTCCTCCCTCTTCTCCTCCTCATCCTCGGCCCCCCGAGCTTCATTATCCTCAGCTCAACGACATTGTCAAGCAATGGCCCTGCAACTGCCATCACAGCGTGACCCCTTTTTAGGTCCCGCATCAGGCGGTCTATCTTTTCATCCCTTTCATCCTCCATTGCTTTGAAAGATGTGACATAGTCCCTCTTCCGTTCATCCCTAATAGGGTTCAAAAAGGCAGACGACTCCCTCCATATAGAAAATAAATCAATCAGATTGAACAAAATAAAAAAGCAACTGCATATTCAAAAGCTTAATCCTTCAATCTTACCCCGCTGCTTGAATCTCAATCTCTAATTGGCCATAATCCCAATGGTTACAGCTCTCGACATGCCACCGCAACATCCTAGAAATTGCTGTTGCACATTCACATTGTTCTCCTCCCCCCCGCCTTAGCGAAGACAGGGATGGCCTCGTCCATCCAAGCCTACATTATAAAAAAACAGTCCATGTCATTATTCAAACACACATATTATAAAAAATATAACATAGACCTATTAATATTTACCTGCATTGCCATGGGAGCCACAATTATACGTGCTTGGTTTAGCTTCCCGCCCCATTCGGCATGCTTTAACGCCATGTCTGGTTTTTTCAGGCTCTTGATGGTTCGCTCAAATGATATCCGTCCCACGGATAAGAATTAAAGAACTCCAAGTCGCTTACAAACGCAACCAATCTTTCTCAATAGCTTTTGTTGAGTCACCAGCCAATAGAGAGAATGTAAAAACAATATCAAGCACACTTTTATCTTCTCTGCATCACTAAACCGAACTGTAGATAGCCTCTTCTCTAAACTTTTCCTGTAATAGACTTTGCCCCTTTCAAAACCTTTTTACAAAAGTTTATGGCTCCCGCACCTTCCTTACGGCGTCTGCCTCCGCCTTAGTTGGCACTTTCCCGCACCTAAGCCCGTCGCCAACGTACTCCATCATACCAAACCGTAGTGGCTTTCCCTCCACCACGAACCACATTTCATTTTTTTTTCTGCATTTTACTGAGTGCATCAACATGTAATGCACTCCCTGCCCCAAAATGACTTTTTCCACTTTTTTCCAATTCTTAAAAACTGACCGAAACAAGTGTCACCAAAATCTCTTTCACCTGCCCTCTAGCTAATGGCCCTTATTCTGTCAAAAACCTCCCAGCTCGACCTCACCGTCACCCTTGCAAGGAAGTAGGGTACCTTCTCACTTATAGGCTCCAACTCGTACTCTCTACAGCTTACGTCCGCCCAATCTGCACAATTGAAAAATAAAATGTCATCAACAAAAATAAACCAAAACCACTGTAGTCGCTTAAGCGATCATGGTCCTTAAGAGACTTTACTGTCTCATGCAAGATCGCTTAAGCGACCAAAAGTTAACTAGAATCTCTTAATCTGTGATTCTGCCCAGACCTAAGATCGCTTAAGCCACCAAGAGTAACACTCATGATCTCTGAAGCGATCATTGCTGCGATCACGAGTAAAACGAATAAATCGCTTAAGCGATACAATGATCGCTTAAGCGAAATTACAAGCAACATCCCAAACTACGTACCCTATCTTCGCCGGCCTTCTCCTCATCGCCTGGATCCTCCGGCGACTCCCCTGCCCTGAATTATCGCCGGAATCCACCTCCTAGCCTGCATTCTCTCCGGAATCCTCCTTCTGCCTGAATTCTCGCCTGACTCTTCGTCTTCGACCCTTTTGCTGTTTCTTCCTCTGTTCTTGTGCCGCCGGCGTCTCCTCTACGTGTGGACCACCTTCAATGGTCAGATGTCGACCGGAGCAGCCATTGAACTGCTTGCGCCACCGGAATCTAGGATTCGAAGTGGCGTTGGGTTGTCGTCGTCATTGTGAATGTCAGCCATGGTTTTGGATTGAATTTGGTGTGAAAATTTGTAGTTTGTATTGGAAATATGGCTGTATTGCCGGAAATCGCACGATTCCGTTTATAGTTGAAGAAATCGATCTTAGGGTTCACAAATCGATCGAAAATCGCGACTATATCGCCGAAAATCGCGACTGTATTCGGTTTAGGGTTCAAGAAATTGATTTAGGGTGCAAATCAATTGATGTTGGATCGGAAAAAATCGCGTCTCCCTTTCGTTCAAGAAATCGCGTTTTCAACTGATGATTTCGATTAAGCGACGTGAATAGAGTGTGGGCTTGTTTGCGAAATTTCAAATTTTGAAAACTTTCATTATTTCTGATTCAGCCCACATATGTTTTAATCTTTTCATTTTAACCTATTTTACGTGTTTAATTAATCCTAACTATGCCACGTCATCTTCTCTAAATTTAAAATATTTGATTAACAGTTTCAAGACCATTTTCTTAAATGCATACTTTGGGGGACCGGGCAGCTAATTTTTCTCATGTGAAGCAGAGCACCGAGGTTAATAATAGCTTGAAAGACTCATTTTTAAAGTGTACGGATCTCTTCCCTCGTTACTTCCTTAGATCACAATATACACCGCGCGGTTTCTGGGTTCTTTTCTCTATCTGGGTTAGTCTCTTCTCTCCCAAAATTTTGCCTTTTTCTATTTTTTTTTTTTTTTAATATTTAACTACTCTGAGTGGTTTCCTCGTCTATGCTTTACATTAGCAAGTATCTATGAACTTAGATCTAGAAACTCCATTCAACTGACCTCCGAAAATATCAACTTTATTGCGGAAATGGTTTGGTTTGAAGTGGGGATTTCTGGAATTCTCCTACTGTTAGAGAAAGCAGATATTACTTTTTATGAAGTTCGTACTAAATAATGATAGCTGTGGTGATGGGAAATAAGATATAACGTGAATTTATATTTTCTGTGTTTTGTTAAGGGATCTCGTTTAATAATTGTGTCAAGTCATTGAAACTTTGAGTACTTAATTAAATCTCTAATAATTCATGAGTTTCGGTCTATTAGCAATAGAATTAGTTTAGATTCACATGCTGTTTTTTAAGTCTTTCTGTATACAAGTATTCGTGGTTGATGGTTTGTGTTATGTCATAAAAAGATGATTGCAGATGGATATTGAGTCATCTTTTAGTTTTAGTTTGTTCATATCGGTATTTGTAATTAAAAAAATTGTGTTTGTGATATAAGTTTCATGTTCACTTGGTAAAATTATTGCTTCTTTAATTGGCAGCATCGGTGAAGTACAAGACTGGGCGCACAAGGGGAAATATACTATGCATATTATTCTCTTTTGCCTTTCCTTTTGTCTTGGCAATGGTTTTTGACCTGGCACGTCCTTTGAAAGGTTTTTTAGAAATGAAAACAGGTGTCGGATGGCGCCTTTACCTTTTCTTGCTCCCACTACTCTTCTTCCTTCCTTATCTGTTATCGGGTAATTGTTCTCATCTTCTTCTGATTATGATATTGTGGAATTTTCCAATGTTTCCTTGATTTGGTATGGGTTTTGAGAGAATATGATTGGTTTCTGTTTCCAGTTCTTGAATTGCACAGAAACTCCATTATAGAAGATCTGCCCAAGAAAAATAGAAAGAAGTTTGATCATCTGGTTCTTGGGCCTGCTGCCGGTCAAGGGTTGCCTAACCGTTTGCAATGCCAAGGTTTTTACTTTATCCTTGTTAATGATACACTAACATACTTTGTAGTATCTTTAAGATTTTGGACTTGCAATTTCAATTATTGAATATGGATAAAGCAGATTTCCCTTATTTCATTTTTACTCTGTCTCCTTATCTGCTTAACTTTGAGTTTGGAATGTTTGTTTTGGACACTAATAACTTGTAGTAATTTGGTTTTATTATTTCTTCGTGTTTTCTTCAAATTAAAATTGCCGATGCAGTACTCGAGCTTTTCCTATTTAACATACAACCTAATGCTCAGATTATGAGTTGGATCATGTTGTGTATAAAATTAATATGCTGGCCATGACTCTATGGCTGCTATAACACTGAATATTGTTATAGTTAAATACGCTGTTGAATAGTGTGACATCTCAATGGGGACAGTGACTTTCCTATTATACAATACTTCTCCGTCTATTATAGCTATACTTTATTCTGTATGGACTCATGAGTAATAAGATTTTGTGAGCCGCAGTATGTACCTATGAAATATATATAAATTTCATAACCTGGGTTGTAGTGACACAACTCCTGTAGTAATATGAACATAATCTTTGGAAACAAACTCTTTACTTCTGCATCCAAGTTTCCTCTACTGTTGTCTTGACTTTGATTGTGCATTCCCTGTTTACTGAATTTCTCAGGCATCAAAGCTCTCAACAAGACCCATTTTTCAGCCCCTTCTCATGTCTCCAGTGTTGAAGATAGAATTTCTTTTGTCACTGTTTTCACAATTTATAACACCTCACTTGAAACTAATGTGGATGGTAGAGCATCAAACTTGGTTACCATTGGAAATGCTTCTTATAGTAAGACAGAAAGGTCAATGGCCATATTGGAAGTGTTAATTAACTTCATTCAAGTAAGTATTTGGCAAATCCCTCAAAAACTTGATTTGAGGTTCATAGCTTTCCAATTTTACAAATTGTGGAGTTATTTAAAATTTCAATTGATTACAGGTGACAATGGCCCCAAGTGATGTAATCATTCTAACTGATCCTGCTTCAGATCTCTCAGTGCACAGAAAAGGGATCACCATATATCCAATAGAGGGTGAATATTCTCGAGACAAGTTGATGCTTCAAAGAATCAGGTCTTACACTGTAAGAGCAAATCGCTGATATATAGGTAGAATATTTTTGTTTTTCACTAATAATTTTGAGCATAAGAAATTGCTTCTGAAACTTAACTATATACTTGCACTTTGTCCCTCTCCAGATGTTTGGTTGGAACATATTCTCAAAATGTCATTGTTGTTTGTGATTTTAATTCTTTTTGTTTTCCCTTGCAAATGTTGATGACTTTATTTCAGTTTGTTTTGCACCCACACAGACAAATTGTCAGTGCAGTTACCTTACTTTCTCATTCTTTTTGGAGAACAAGTCCTACCCTCACTGCCTTTGGCACAAGAGATTATTAGTTTGTTATTGATATCTGGACATTAATTGAAGAAATACTTTATTAAAATTCTCAATGCTAACACGAGAAGTCAAGACCTTTATCTTAATTTATTATGCTATGGATGGTCCTGGTTTAATTTTTCTTGTTCAAATGTTATTCTTTTTATGCAGACATTTCTTGAAAGAAAGCTTCAGGAGCATTCTCAGGGGCAGAGGCTTATAAATCATTACATCTTCACTGACTCAGATATAGCTGTGGTTGATGACTTGGGTCATATATTTCAAAACCACCAAAACTTTCATCTGGCACTAACTTTCAGGAATAACAAGGATCAACCTCTGAATTCTGGATTTATAGCTGTCAGAGGCACCCCTGATGGGATTTTTAGGTGCAGAATTTGTTCTTTTATTGCATTTATTTTTCTCTCTGGAAAAATGAGATGATTGAAAGGAAGAGGAGAATGTTTCTGTTTCAGTTGCCAAAGTCAAATTTAAATCTTATACACCTTTTAGGGTAACCAGGTTGTGCTGGTGATTTCAGTACAAATAAGCAATGCTAATATGTATATGGAAATTTATCACAGAAGAAAATGAGAATGTTATTTTGATTGCAGGGCAAAGGTATTTCTTCAGGAAGTATTAAGCATATACAGTTCCAAATACATGAATGCTTCCAGAATGCTTGGTGATCAGTTAGCTCTTGCTTGGGTTGTAAAGTCTCACCCCTCTTTTGATACAAGGAGATTCACCAAAGCACAGGCCTTTGTTGAGGAAATCGGCGGTGCTTCAGTTCTATTTTTACCTTGTGCTACATTCAATTGGACTCCACCTGAGGGTGCCGGCCAATTTCACGGCATGCCCTTGGATGTTAAGGTATGCTTTGATATCTAAATTCAATTTCTCATAATAATCTTGATCAATAACCTCCAAAGGAAAAAGTCTCTGGTTTTGCTCAGAAATATATGAATGCTAATGTTATCTAAAGCATCGATTTATTATCATTCAGGTTGTTCATTTTAAGGGTTCAAGGAAACGCCTAATGCTCGAGTCTTGGAACTTCTTAAGCTCATCTTCTGACATTTCAGATATGTTGTGTCTCATCCTGGCAAGTGGAAGAACAAAATATGACTTTTGAATAGATATCATATGAATTAATGTTACATTACACATTCTCTCGAGGGAAACAGATAATTTCTTTCAACGGAACTGGGTGGGGATTTCTTGTGGCATCATTCAAAATGTATTTCAGTAGCAATTTAGAATAGTTTACCTATTGGGGCTATCTCTTCCTTTTCCCCCTTGACACCATTTCCCACCCCCAACCGCAACATAAATTTGTTAGTACTAGCAACAAATGTAACTGGAAACGCAAATATTGATGTTTTTTTTTCATTCATTTACTCATATTGAAGATTGTTTGAATCATGATTGTTAGTATTCTACGATATCCGATACGTATCATACGATATGATTCGATACAGGTCGCCAACGATACGTATCAGAGAGTATATCTTAAACCATTCAATACGTTGATATGTATCCTATGATACGATACGTATCTATTCTTATCCTTAAAAATATCGATACGATTTTATTAATTTGGGTCAAAAGTTTAAAAAAAAATTCGGGTCAAAATCGGGTCACCTAACTCGATTCACTAAAACCTGTTCAAATTTACGTATTTTATATAGAGAAAGTGAAGAGGAATATGTATTGTTTATTTTATATAATAATAATAATATAAGTGGAGATATAGATATTGACATTGATCTTGGAATTTTGTGATTAATTTTGATTATATAATACCGTAATTTGAAGTCAATAATACCACAAAATTTTTTAATTAATTTTGGAGATTATATTAATTTTTAGAAAATTTTGATTATTTTATTAATTTTTTTTAAAAAAGCATATCTTACAATATAATATAATATGCGATATATGATTCAAAAAATTAAGTTTTTGATACACAATATAATACACGATTTGATAACTATGATTTGAATGTCTTCAACTTTTTGCCTCGTACTAAATTAAATTCACTGAATGCTGTAGCAGGTGACAACTTGATTTCAGCATAACTTCCCTGGCTAAAACTGAATACGTTAGAAATTATAATTGCAGAAACGTACCACCAAAATTTCTCTCTGGTAAAAGATTGGCTACCCAACACCATAGAGTAAAAAGCATTTATGGTAAACATGTTAAACAAGAGAGAGCCACAAAATTTTGTCTTACCTCAACCTTGATCCATAACAGAAACTGAAAAGAGTACTGGTGATTGTATTGTCGATCAGGCATTTACTGCCCAGTAATCAAGTTATGACACATGTATGGCTATGGTCTTTGGAGACTTAATCATTGACTATGAACAATCCAACAAAGGATTTTCGCCAAGTTCCAAGTCCAGATAAGATTTAAGCTTCCGTGGCTGGCTTGCTCTAGGCTGTTGAGTGAAATTTGATCCAAGATTGACTCATTCAAAACCCTTTCTTTTATTAGGAACTAGAACAAATTCATAAAAACCAGAAATGGACATAAGACTAATTACGAGGAGGCAAGAGTTCAGATGATTCAAGTAAATCCAAGAACAAACTGAAATGGGTTGACATGAAAGGGAAATTTCAGTTTTAAAATGTTCCTACTCAATCAATGAGACTATGGAGAAACTTTGAGCATTATCATAATATTTTTCTTTTTTATGATAAATGGAGGTGTTTAGGTCAACTAGTGTACACTTTAATTAATCTTTCGGGATTTCGAAATTATTGACCAAATAAAAACTCTTGTAGTTATTTCTATTAGTGCTTCGAGACTCAAATTTAAAAATTCATGAAACCTCAATTTATTCTTTTATCACCACAAAATTCAAAATAAATACATATTATAGACACAATTAAGATTTTCTTTGTTGATGTTTGATTTTGACACCAACTATTCAGACGTGCAAAGTGCTAAGGAGACTTAGAAATTACACGTGATAAATTAAAGAGGTTTGAATGTGATATTGAAACGTAAATAAAAGATTGGCAAAAGAAGTTTTTGTAATGGTTCGGATACTCAAAAGCGAATCCTACATCTACTATGAGTATATTAATAGGGGGTTACAATTAGGTCGCACTCGGCGAGCTGAGTTACAATAGAGAGAATGAATGGATAGAGGGAGAAAGAGAGAGAGAGAGAGAGAGAGTTTTAGATGGTGAATGAGTCAATCCTATAAAATGGAGGAGAGCCCTCTATTTATAGTGGGAGGATCCAAGATGGCAATCATGATTCTTCGTGCAGGCATTTGTGGTATAATTCCTAACCGACTTCCTATTGGTTGCCTATACGAGAGGTTTTCTTAAATCGCGTACAGCTTCAACAGATGGACAACTTTCAACCACTTATAGGCCTGACGTTTACTTGTCTTACTAACGATGATCTTACCTTTCTAGTCTTTACGAGACGTGACTGCATTCTAACGTCAAAAAACCTTCTTGAATTCTGATTAGTTTTTGCTGATGTATGCTTATGCCAGCCTTGTTCTTCAGCATAACATTCTTCGATGGAATTTTAATTTTCTTTCTCTTAACTGTGTCGGTTAGTTTAAAATGAATTTATTTTCGTGTTTAAATAAACAAAGTTTTAAAAATGTAATTATACTTATGATTTATTGTGCATTTAAAAAATTTGGTTGGTGGCGAACCCAACATCATTTTGTTTGATTTTGGGAAATTAGAAATTAAAAAACAAAAGACAGAACTACTAATAATTTGTTTGAAAATTGTGCAATAATAAATAATCAATCAATCAAATCATCATCTTAGGATTAACATGTGTTTTCCATTGCACACATAATATACATTACAATCATGGATCCATCAAACGCTCCAACCTACCCCACATTTGTCAATGCATTAAATACTTGATCAACGTTCACGTTCTATATTTAGCCACGTGTCTCTATCCATCAATGTATCCACACGTACCAGACCAATTACTTCACACGCTTTACTACTACTGTTACTATATTCATTGCTTCACTATAATTCACTATTCAACGGTAACCTCTAATCTATCTTGATAATTCCACACTTGACCACCTTCAGTTTCCAAATCTCCCTCATTCTTTAACTTCCCTAAAAAGTTTTTTCCCTCTTGGCAGATTTTCTGTGAAGCTTCTGGTTCCAATCGCTTTCAACACTATAAATTCGGAGTCTTTTACCTCATTTTTGTATTGCTCCCTCTCTCTTTATCATCATCAATGGAGTTTCACAGAGCTCTTTCTCTTTTCTTGGTTTTCTTTTCTTGTTTTGTTTATTCATCTCACGCTTTGAAGTTCTACGTTGGTGGAAAAGAAGGTTGGGTTGAATCCCCTCATGAGAGCTACAATCACTGGGCTGAGAGAAACCGGTTCAAAGTCAATGACACGCTCTGTAAGTCTCATTTATTTGTTTGATCATCTTCATTTTTATCAAATTTATCATTTAATTGATTGAATAATTTGGTTTCTTTTTTCTTTAAGATTTTAAATACAAGAAGGGAGAAGACTCGGTGTTGCTGGTGAAGAAAGATGATTACTTTAACTGTAATACGAAACAGCCATTGAAGAAAATGGAGAGTGGTGAATCGGAGTTCATGCTTGATCGTTCAGGGCCCTTCTATTTCATCAGTGGAGTTCCTGACCGTTGTCAAAAGGGACAAAAATTAATTGTGAGTGTTCTGCACCTAAAAACTCCATTAAAACCACCGAAAACACCACCGGTTACCCCGCCTCCCACCCATGCTCCGCCGCAATTGCCACCGTCACCTTCATCACACCCACCTGTTGCACCATCGCACTCACCAAAAGTTTCTCCAGCTCCAGGGTTGTCCCCTAAACCTCACTCTCCAGTTCCCTCCGGGTCCCCTCATGTGTCTCCTTCACAATCACCCGGGGCTTCGTCTCCTAAATCATCATCTCCGGCACCGGCAACGTCACCTGTAGCTACATCTCCGTCACCATATAGTGGTAAGTCACCTGCTGTGACTCCATCACTGTCTCCAAAGGCTGGGGGTCCAGTGCTGGCACCTGGACCGTCCACTTCGACGATATCGCCTTCTGCACCTGGACCGTCCACTTCGACGATATCGCCTTCTGCACCCGGACCATCCACTTCGACAATACCTCCTTCTGCACACGGACCATCCACGTCTACAATACCTCCTTCTGCACCCGGACCATCCACGTCAGGAATCTCTCCTTCGGGTGGGACTTCTCCGCCAGGTAGCTCGGGTTCACCGTCGGGGACGCCGCCCGGGGCGCCGTCACCTTCAGGGACTCCAGCGGATATTACGTCACCACCGACATCGACAAAATCAAAGGCGAATGCAGTTGTTGTAACGCCTTGGAGTTTGATAGTGTCTGTGGGAGTTTCTGTTGTAGTGAGTATTGTCGTTTTGGGTTAGAGATATTTAATTATTTTGTGGGCAGTTGGAATATCTGGGATTTTTAGTAGAGTTAATTGCTTTGTTGATTATTTTGTCTTTATTGTTTGATGTTTGTCATTGGAGAAATTATTTTGATTTTATTTTATTTTTATATATCATTGATAAATTAGTATATGGAAATAACTACATGATTGTTAAATTGACATTATTTTTCTTGATTTTATTTTCTTAATTAGGAAGCTATTAGCTAACATTTGAGAAAGGATTAATTATTACTTGGAGATTTTCATGTAGAAATTATGACAAAATATACTGTAGTGTTTGAGTCTTAAGAGAATATAAACAACTATTGGGTGGTCGGGTGGGGCGATAAGGACTTTGGATGTTCAAGAGGTATTGAGTTTAATTCCTCTTTGGGGATAGCCACTGGAGGGTTTACTTGGTAGTTAATTTCAGGATCTTGGAGAATTAATCAAGATGTAGATAAAGACTCTTTGATGTATTATTCAAGGGGTATTAAGTTTAATTCCCCTCAGGGGTGACCACTGGATAGTTTACTTGGTTGTTAACGTCAGAATCCCCAAAAATTAATCAAGGTATACACAAGCTGTCCCAAATATCTTCGGTCAAAAAAAAAAAAAGGACATCACCGATCACAAAAAAAAAAAAAAAAAAAAGGCACCCGTGCTTAAAAAAAAAAAAAAAAGTGAATACCACAGTATGAATGTTTTCTATTTATTTCGCCACTATAATTGGTGATATTAATTACTTTTCTATTAATGAGTTAAACGCTTGATTATAATACTAAACTTTGCTTTTCCAGCTATTAACCACCTCATGTTTGCCTAATTAAACAAGTGCTTTCTAACTTCTTGTACAATTTTGAGGTCAAAAGTCGTACTCTTGTAGAGTGAATGTTTTTCTTTAGGAAATTATTCATTCCAAAGTTGTACACTTGTAGAGTGAATGAAGCTCAGTCAAGTAGCGGTTTGATTTGGTTTGCTTGTAGGAGTAGGACTGAACAATACAATTTTGGTAAGTTATTAATTGATATATATTACTTATTTTTTTTAATTAAATTTGGGACTGAGAAAATACCATTCATAAACCAATCAAATGGTTCGATAGAGACTTTTAAGTGTATTATTTAAGAGGTCTTGAGTTTGAGTCAATTCTCTGTTGTTAATAGAAGTGACCAGTAGAATTCTTACCTAATTAATAGTTTTGAGGTCTTGAAAGATTGGTCTGAGGTGCGTATAAATTTATTTAGACACGAAAAATATATATATAATTATATATTATGTATGCCAAATCCCTTATTTGATAATGCCAAACACGGTAGAGTTGATTATTGAGGACATTGATTTGACACATTAAACCAGAAAGTTCAACACCATCCTAATCCTCACGGGTGCTTCATTATATAAATTAACACCACAAATGTTGGTGCGTTGGCAAATATAATATGGATGTGGATTTAGACATGCATGTACTTAATAAATAAATAAATTTTAATTTAAATGATAATTTTGAAGGACAAAAGCTTTATCTGGGATTCAAAAAGGCATTAATTATTGTCTACATGGGGTCTCCATTCCATTCCAAGTCCTGCCATGGCTGATCTGATCAAAGCCTAACCTAACCTTCAGCTTATTCATACTTTTGAATTTTAGTTTCGAGTGTGACGAAGAAGAAGCCGCGTACCGATGGACAAGTAGACAAAAGTTAAAAGAAAGTTTGACGTCTTAAATCAAACACCAGTGGTTTTCTCCACGTAATCCCATTAACGTCAACATTCGACAAGACTTTTCAGATCGTTGTAGCTTTCAATTCATTTGAGAGCTTATATTCACACGTAATTACTCCTACAATAACCCCCATATATATATATATATGATATGGTGTCGTTTTGTTTTGATCGTTTTCATGAACAGTGAAAGGATTGGTCCGGTTATGAAATCCAATGTAGTATTTGTCGGCAGGGGGAAGATTGAAAAAGAAGATGAAGAAATGGATTGGGGTTTGATTTTTCATCTTCTTGGTTTCATATGCCAACTGTTCACCTCTCACTTTCACTCAATTATTTTTCCTGGACCGTCCAAAATTTTTTCTTTTCTTATATGTTTTTTTTATGTTATCATAAAGTTTGATTTAAGAATTTGACTTCAATCTTCATCTATTGTTGATCATCATTATCTTAATCTATCTCTTAAGTTACTGAAGTCATTGAGAATATGTTGATTAACAGTCAAAATCCCTTTTTTTTTTTAAATTCTTTAACAATACAAAGTTCAAAATAATTTGATAGCTTATTTATCAGCATTACAATTAACAATTGACGATAATTAATATAAGAAAATTATAAATTATTGACATTTTTAATTCACTATATTATTTATTTTTCACATGGCCGATTATAATTGGTATCAAGTCAGTACTTAAAGATATAAATATTAGAAATAAATGAAAGTGGACATAGCAATTAATTATGTATTTTTGCTTCAAGTCTTGTGTGTGTGAACACAATTGCCATGAGCCGCCCACCTTTAAGAATGCAACTATGCCATTATCAAATAATCAATATAGCCTTTCGACTTTAGGAGGCTCGCCTTTAGAAGGAGGGTAGGATTCACTCAACTTACAAGTCTATATTTTATGTATAATTTATATATCTATATAGTTTCTTTCATTTTTTATTTGTATTAAGCATTTTGATGGAATATATCTATGTGACTTTGTTGATCTACAATATAAATGTGTGTCACGTTTTTCAGGAATAGCTCAGTTTTGGTAATATAAACCAGATGGGGGTTTTCCTTAATGTCTTTGGAGTTGGGAAATTTTAGAAATTTAGATGGTTTATACTGTCAAAAATATATTTTCATTCTTCAATTGTACAAACAATCAATAGTCAAAATTCTCTTTTTCTGAATGCAGAATTCTCTTTGCTTTATGAATTCCAATTCTAAATTTTCTTTCATGAACTTATCTTTTTCTTTTTTGGTAAAACCGGTAATTATAAAAGAACAAAGAATTGCAGAATAAAGAGGGCTGGAGCACCCTCAGCAAAACACCCTTTGGACAGACCCAAAGAGGCACAAACACAAAGGAGCCATAAAGAGCTAACAGCCCATGGCGAAAAGACCCAGCAACAACAGCAACAGATCCAAAGGAAACAAAAAACAACAGCAGACCCTATAATAGAACGGGCAGCAAAACTAACAAGCAACAACACAGCCTAGGAGAAGAGAGGGAGAAACAAAAATGCACATCCAGCAGAAACAAAATTAGCACTATACACAAGCTGAGACCATACGAAAAAAACTTCGAGCAGCCTTCCCAAAGAAAAAAACAGCACTTTCCCAACTGTAGCACATCACACCCAGAAGGCCTGCAAACCGAAGAGAAACAAAAAACCTCCTGCAGCAATATCAACAACCCACCACCTGCAAAATCCATAAACTGCAGCATCATCCAACAAAAGCTTCTTCTCCCACAAAAAACATAAAAACAAACCCCAGCAGCTCAAGCAAAGACCTAATCAACATACTTCCGGCACTGTTTCACCAAAACCTCAACCGTCAAACCATCACCAAAAAATCTCCAAAAGAAATCATCACAAGTCTGTTCCCAGCAGAGAGCACATAACAGAAGCTGGGACACCAGAATAAGAATCATGAAAATCCGGCAAATTCGAAAAGTCGCCCTGGACAACGGCCACAACAATAACACTATACATGAACTCATCTTTGTGAAATTCAAGACTCTCTACATCGCTAAACCAATAATGTTAGTTTTAATACGATCTTAAATTTACAAAAATGAGAGTTAAGGTCATTGTTTTACAGTATTTTTGGTCAACAATTAATGGATATATCTTCATTGGTGTAGCAAATAAGTGCACATAACAATTTGCTTTAACCTTGTCAACACGATGATGAACCGAGACTGTGTCTCTATGGTAGAAAAGGTTAATACATGTAGCATAAACCAAGGCAAAGAAACACTACTGGTGCCTGGACAACATATCTTCATTGTCCAGGCATGGTTTATGGAAATGGACAAACTAATACAATTGAGTTACCACTGTCCACACATTAATTATACTACATCCCACATTTATTTGCTATGTTTTACTTATTGATTAACAACATAAATAGATCACTCTGCTTGCAAAATAATAAACGGTCCAGCATGATCATTAAACAAATCTACTAAAACTAAATACAACACCTCATGCGTAAAGACAGCCAATAAAAAAACTTCCAAATAGAGAAAGCAAAGGTCTCCAATGGAAGCCATGCATTCCAAGTAAGCATCCTTAAAAAGAGACAATAAACAAAAAAGAGAACCAAGGACAAGGAAATATACTCATAACAGTTCATTCAAGATATGTCAAAAACGGCTCCGACGATTCTTAAAGTATTCCTGCCAGACAATTTCTCGACCGATCTCTTGTAACAAATCATGCATTACTACCTTATTATTTGTAATAGTTATAAAATGTCTATTCACGAGGGCATTGATTCCCATCTCTGGTGGGAAATTATTCCTGGCCTTCAGAGTTCTTGTTACGAGATCTATGTCTACTCCATTCAATAAGGAAGAAATATCTAAAAATATCTTTTTCGCTTCATCATCTAATCCGTCATAACAGATTTTTAGTACTTTCTGAAAATCTGTACTAGGAGTTCTCTCTAGTATATTCAATGTACTTTCCCAATCTTGTACCCTCTTTCCAGAGAGAAAGGAACCCAAAACTATAAGAACAAATGGAGCACCCTTAGCATATACTATTACATTTTTTGACAACTCCAAGTAACGTTCCCCGGGATTATGATCTCCAAAGGCATACGAATTAAAAAGCATAAGAGCTTCAGCATGCAATAATCCCTCAACCTTGTATGTTTTATCCACTCTGCATTCCTTCAGCACTTGTTCATCTCTTGTTATTATAAGGATTCGACTACCCGGACCAAACCAACCAAGACCTCCGATTAAAAATTCTATCTGTCCACCTTGTGTCACATTATCAATAACCATTAGAACCTTCTTGCTGCCAGACTTTCCCTTCATGGACGGGAGTTCATTAGTCGGAGAGTTTCTGTCTACAAGTGTTATTGCTGACAGAATTTCTTGGCGCAGTGAAATTAATCCATCACTTCTCTCTGCTCGTTCCCCAACATTGTCAATGAAGCAATACCTGTCAAACTGCCCATAGATTCTGTGGTAAATGACAGTAGCAATGGTAGACTTCCCTACACCAGCGATGCCCCAAATTCCCAGCGTGAAAACGTCTTTCGATCCAATGGATAAGAGAGATTCAATGTTTTCTATATGTCTTTTCACACCAACCAGTTCCTTTTCTTTAACAAGGGATAGATAATTGAGTTTTTCATAAATGTCGCTGACAATCTGTTGTAAAAGTACTGATTCAAACCTGTCAAATACCAAGTATAATTAAGATACCCAAGTGAGGCAAGAGAACATAATTCTGATTCTAGCTAACTTATGTTGATGGAGATATTTCATTTTTGATAGTTCAATGACTTCACAGACAATATATATGTCACTCATTTGATCTAAAATACTAAAGTGCGTAATTGTTATCATTTTTCAAAACCTCATGTTTCTCATTATGTTTGGCTAAACCTCAGGGATGAACCCTTGCAAACAATTAGGAAAGACAATTCATAACTAGTGAAAATTTATATTGACCGATTGGAATATCATCCTCAACAACGCACATCCGCGACAATGTTTCTCAGATTAAAATATTTGCGGCTAAATTCTTCTTTTCCAGTTTGATGAGAAGAGAAAAAGATATATATAATCATTCTAAGAGTTCGACCAAGATCCTATGCCATGAATACCTAAATTCTATGAATCGAAAATGAGAAATTATCCTTCCTTTTAAGTGTTGGGCCTGTCCAGGATTTAATGGCAGGGGATTTTTCCCGCTTGATTGTATTCCTTCATTCTTTTTATATATAATTACCCTTTTACCCAAAAAAAAAAAAAAAAAATGAGAAATTATCAGTATAAGAGTACTTTCTCCAATTCAAGATATTGTTTACTTAAAAGAACAGAAACTATGCATCGCAACCTCAAAGCAAGTTACCTAACGAAAGATGAATCCCAGCCAGAGAGGTTGGCTACTTCTGTCAAAGCAGTCCTCCATGTGTCTGACTTTTCCTTAAAACGCCCTTCAAGCATCGCAAATTCGGCACCAAAAGACCCCGATTGCCTCCTTACATCTCTCGGTGCTACATGATAAAACACTGGTAATACAATCTGTCCACGCTCATTCTTGCATCTACGAATTTGTTCAAGTTCTTGAAGGCACCATGCCGAAGAGGCATAGCCTTTTGAAAAAAGGATAACTGCAATCTTTGACCTTTCAATTGCTTTCAAAAGAGAAGGCGTAATTTTATCTCCTCTGATAAGTTGGTCATCAAAAAATGCTCTAATATTTTTCCTGATCAAAGCTGAGTAGAGATGGCTGGTAAAGTTACGGCGGGTATCCTCGCCTCTAAAACTAAGGAAAACATCATACTCCTCTTCTAGAGAAATTCCAGAAGAAGAAGAAGAAGCAGCCATCACACTTTCACTAGAGAATAAGATAGAAGATATGTATGATGCTAAAACTTGAAAATTTTTCTAGCTCTTCTTCGGCTATCTATGTAAAAACCCACATTGTTACCATTTATATCACTTCGTCTTTTATTACTCAAATTTTATTTTAAGGTGGTGTACAACTGGAACTGGGGCCAGATAGCTGTGAACACCTGATAAAGAAAGGGATTTCTAATTTTATATAAATATATAAAAGATTCCACTTACCTAACGATGTTTGAACACTTCAAAGTTGTGATAACAAATCCTTGTTTACAAAAATAAAATGTCAATCCATTGTTGACGAAATTCTCGATCTGAATTAACTTCTCTTTAAATCTACTTAAAAAAGGAACCTGGAATTAAATTACATTATCACTCCCGATGTTGACGGTAATTTGGAAGTAAACTCCACTGGTTTCGAACTAATAATTGCACCTTAGCTGTTTGTCTTTATCAATTGAAATTTCACATTGACTATCTGTCCATAGAAATGTTGATTCAATCAATCTATATATTTATTCCCAGCCAACCAGCGGCCGGGATTGGCTATACTTACGATGGTGACGGTGACAGTGGTTGTGGTAAACTTTTTTTAGGGTTTGAATAGGTCTTGTTTGTTTAATAATATATGTAATATCTAATAAGAAAATCTAAAAACCACCTCATGAGAGATGTTTAATAAAAAATAAGTTCAACCTTCCTCAATTCTCACCATCCATGGCGGCAGTCACACCACAAATGGAAAAAGCAAAGCTTTCGTAACTTCTGGTTATTTGTTAAGCATCATGTCATGTCAACTTCAAGTTTATCGATCGCAGCCTGAGTGGCTTCCGGTAATTGTCACTACGGCGATTCAGTAATTGTTAGGGAGTTGAGTTCAGAACATTTGAAATTGTTATTGTGGTTTCAAGTTGAAAAAAAAATTATTTTATTCTTTATTTAAATTTTATTAACTATAATTTATTGAATATAAATTATACTTTCTCTACGGTGACATTGTTGACAATGGGTTCGGTCAGCACTCAGCACTATGCTTTATTATCTAAAGGTTGTTTTCGATCTGATTAACTCACATATCAATTTGACCTATTCTACTTTCTCTACAGTCACATACTTAAAGGTTTCTTGGAATCAAGCAAGTTCTAGCAGATTATTGGAGCAACCAGAAGGTGAAGTTAAATGTTGTGAAACAGGAAGTGTTTTACATTAATTTGTTTACTTGATTTTAACTCTATAATTGACTTGATTTTAACTCTATAATTGACTTGCTAGTGTTTGCTATGTGGATTTGTTTCGTCTGGACATGTCCTCATGGATGTTGGTTGTTAGCGGAACCATGTAAACTTTGCTTTATGTCCTTGATGATTGGCATTGTGTTGATGATGAATGATCGTACCACCAAGCTCTAATGAACACAATCAATCTATTCCGCAAATGTTTAATGAATTTGGTTCATCATTAAAACATTCATCGCTAAACCAATAGTGTTAGGTTTAATACGATCTCAAATTTACAAAAATGAGAGTTAAGGCCATTGTTTTACTGTATTTTTGGTCAACAATTAATGGATATATCTTCATTGGTGTAGCAAATACCTCCACATAACAATGTGCTTTAACCTTATTGGAGATATTATCAGTTCTAGTTGCTCAACACACTTTAGTCACACTTTAGTTGCACACTTTAGTCAGCTCAATACACTTCAGCAGAGTACTTTTAAGTTGGTTACTGATATAACAGAATTGTAACTATAGTTAGTTAAGTGTTAGTTGAGTGTATTAGAGTTAGAGCTTAAGCTTTTAATATTTAAGCATATTGTATTTTTCCAGAATAGTAGCTTTACCCCAATTAATAAAAGTTCTCATTTTACTCTCTACACAAAATCTAAAATGGTATCAGAGCTTTAGGGTTTTTTATTCTTCAAATCAGTAAGAAGAAGAAAAGCTTAGTCCCTTCAATTCGTTCCTTCATTTGTTTGATTCAACCATCAATTTGTTCAGTTCTATTCAAAAGCTCAATGCAGTTCAACGTCAGTTTTACTTGAAGACTCAAATTTGTTTGACGGCAAATCAATTCAGTCCGATGACGCGAATTTGCTTCTTCTTTATTTTTTTTCTTCAAGCTTAGTTTTGTGAAAAACAGAGCAATTACAGAGAATGGCGAACACAAGTCATGAAACGCAAATGAGTCTTACAGATTCAAACTCACCACTCTATATCCACTCATCATACACACCAGGATCAATACTGGTGATAGAACAACTCACAGGCATAGAAAATTATGGTATTTGGAGTAGAGCTATGACAGTCTCACTTCGAGCGAAGAATAAGTTGGGATTTGTGGATGCTACATTTAAGAAGCCATTTGATTCAACTTTAGGTGCACAATGGGAGAGATGTAATTCACTAGTTTTGGCCTGGATTTTTAACACCGTCTCAAACAAAATCTTTAATGGAATTGTTTACTCCACTAGTGCACATCAAGTATTGCAGGATTTACAGGAGCAATATCATAAGGTGAGTGGAACAAGAATCTATGAAATTCATCAGAAAATTGTGAATCTCACACAAGGTACCATGTCTGTAGCAATTTATTAATTACAACAAGTTGAAAGCATTATGGGATGAGTTGAGCTCCATGATTAGCTTACCACCACCAGATAGTGAGTCAGCTAAAGCATATCTTGCTCACCTAAATCAGCAAAGATTGTTGCAGTTCCTAATGGGCCTTAATGATGCTTATTCCATAGTAGGAAGCCAAATACTCTTGATGTCGCCGCTGCCTTTAGTCAAGCAAGCTTATTCCATTGTTAATCAAGATGAAAGTCAGAGGATTTTGTTAGGAACTAATGCTGGTTCAGATTTCACTACCGCAGTACTATACGTGAAAAATACTTAGAAATGGCAAAATCAAAATACTAAATACAAATGGAAGAAGCCCTACATAGAATGTGATTTCTACCATGTACCAGGCCACAAGAGAGACACTTGTTATAAAATTCAAGGATATCCAGTAGATTATAAAGGAAAGATGACTAGATCCAAGAATAAATCATTAGCAAATCAAGTACAGAGCAATGCTCAAGCACTTTCTACAGCCGACTCTACAAGAGATTCATCAAAAAGTTCACTTGGAACGATTCTCTAAGCTGAATAATACTCACAGCTCCTCCAGTTGCTTGGCAAATAAAATATTTCAGCTTCGGCCAACATGGCAGGTATTGCAACATCACTCTTCTCTTGGTATAATGAAACTGAAAATTGGATTATTAATTCAGGAGCAATAGATCACATGACCAGTAGATTGTCTAGCTTAAATTCTCCTATTGACATGGACTCTAACCTAAACACTTATGTTGGTCTGCCCAATGGTACAAAAACTAGGATTAGACATACTGGTTCCGTTAAACTTGATGAAAATCTTAGTCTTGATCATGTATTACATTTACCAAATTTTAAGTATAATATGTTTTCAGTCTCAAAATTCACTTCATCTAATAATTGTGCCATTACATTTTATCCTGATTTTTGCTTAATCCGGGACCTCTAGAGTGGCAAGTTGAAGGGGATTGGTAGAAACTTCCAACGCTTATACTTCTATGTGCCTATCACACAATCAGCCTCACCCAATCTTGACATTTATACACTAGCTAAAACACTTTCCACCACTGATGTTTGCAATATTGTAGTAAATAAGTCGAGTTTTAACTCCAAGTTTATGTCTTCTACTTCATGTTCTAATTTTCATGTTTGGCATCAAATGTTAGGTCATGTACCAAATTCTGTCTTTAAACAAATGATAAAGACTTTGCCAATTGACAATTTTTCCCATTGTTTCATGTGTCCATTGGCAAAGCAAACTCGAATACCTTTTCCATTAAGTCAATCTAGTACAAGTCATGCTTTTGATATTTTGCATTTGGATGTATGAGGACCTTATAAGGTACCTACTTATGGAAATGCTAGATTCTTTTTAAAAATTGTGGATGATTGTACAAGAGTTACATGGCTGCTTTTGATGCAATTTAAATCTGATGTTTTTCAAATACTAAAGCATTTCTTGACTATGGTAAATAATCAACATTGTGTGACACCTAAATGCATTAGATCAGACAATGGTTTAGAATTTTTCAATAAAAGTTGTCAAGAATTATTCCAAAAGTATGGCATTCAACATCAAAGTTCATGTGCTTACTCTCGACAACAAAATGGTGTTGTGGAAAGGAAGCATAGACATATTTTACAAGTGGCCAGGGCTTTAAGGTTTCAATCAAATTTACCACATTCTCTTTGGGGTCATTGTGTTCATGCAACTGTTTACTTGATCAATAGATGTCCCACACCTGTGTTAAATGGTCCTTCCCTATTTGAGAAGTTTGATGGCAAGCCCCTTTCACTTGCACACTTGAGAGTTATTGGATGTTTAGCCTATTCTACGATTCTTACTCCTACGGATAAATTTTCTCCCTGCTCTACTCCATGTGTGTTTGTAGGCTATTCTTTGGATAAAAAAGGTTACTTATTACATAATTTACAAACTCATACTATCCAAACTACTAGGATGTTGTATTCTATGAGCACGTATTTCCTTTCAAATTGCATACGTCAACTTTGCCTCCTTTTCCATTAGATTCCTTCTTAGACATTGACACATCTGATTTACATACATATTCAAGTCAGTCCCCTCTACCTCATGATCACCTTACTAATTCCACAACAGAACCAGCTATGATCTCTAATTCCTCACCTATATCAAGTCCTACTAGTCCACCAATTGTTCCTAATCTTACTTTTGAACCTGAATCCTTAAGAGATCCTCATCTTGAGCCTTCTAGGAAATCCACAAGAATTACCAAACCCCCCATTTGGACCACAAATTTTCATTGCCTTGCACTCTCTTCTTCGTCACAAACTCTTCTAGTGAAGTATCCAATTTCAGATTGTATTTCTTATACACATATTTCACCCAAATACCAAGTTTGT